CGCCAGCTGAGCCGAGAGCCCCACTGCAGGAGATTTCTGAGGGCTCCCTGAGCCTCCTTGGGCCGGATCCGGCCTCCCGGGGGGTACCTTCCAGCGCTGGCATTTTATATACCATCCCAGATCCAAGTGCTTCCTTAATCCGGAAGGATCCGGGTGCTTTTATCCCTCCCTCCAGGCAGATCTGCCCAGGTTTGCAGCTTTCCCTGTGCTCATCCCCAGCCAGCTCCCGGGGCAGGTTGGCCTCCCTGGTGCTGGAGCTGGTGCTTCCTTCCCCGGCTCAGCCGAGGGACCGGCCACCTTCTCCCTCCTCCTCCTTGGCTGCTGCAGCCCCGCGCTTTGCGGGAGCTTACGGGGTGAGAGTGACGAAGGAGGGGAAAACCCCGCTCCCTAGGGGGTCAGGGCTGTCACTCCCATCCGGCGAGCTACCCTGCACCCCAAGCTGTGAGGATGGGGGAACCTCGGGGGGGAACACCAGGCTGAGGCCAAGCCGGGTCTGAGTATCATTGGGGATGGAGATCCCCCAGCCTCTCTGGGCTCCTGTGTGTTTTTACCGTGCTCACAGAGGAAAGAAAAAGTTTCCTAGTATCTAGGTGGAATTTCCCTTGATGCAATTTGCGTGGGGTGCCTGTCCCCATTTCGCTGTACATGTCCCCGGAGAGCCTGGCTCCCTTTTCCCGTAACTCCATCTAAATAGCTGGAGGCAGCCGGGCGATGGCCCCAGAGCCTCCCCTTCCCCGGGCCCAGCAGGCTGCTGACACGAAACCACGCTTGCTCCCACCACCCCAGCTTGGAGATGGGAAAACCCCCAGCTGCAATGCTCGGCATCACCGCGGACCCCAGCCGCAGGTGGAGGGAAGGCTGCTCCCGGGCTTCCCCCCTCTTGGAGAGGAGGTGCCCCAGCCCTGGTGGGACGTGGGCTGTGGGGTCCCTCTGTGCCCTCAAACTCTGCCCAAGCGCTCGCCCGGGGACGGCAGCTCTCAGCCCTTGCTAGTCCACGCTGTGTCTCTGCAGGGGACCCCGGGGCAAGCCCAGTGCGGGTCGTCCTGCCACCCCAGGAAGGTCCCCCGGGGCCTCCCTGCACCCCTGGGTGCCTCCACCCACGCGCTGCCTCCAGACGCTGACTCAGCTCTGCCCGGGGAGCTCCCAGCAGCGCGGAGCTGGGGCCTCCATCGGAAAACCAGCGCTGCCCCGTGACGCTGCCCGCGCCCCAGCAGCCCCGGGGGGAACAGGCAGCGTTCCCC